TCAGTTGGTTAAGCGACTGCCTTCGGCTCAGGTCATGATCCGGGAGTCCCGGGATCGAGTCCCGCGTCGGGCTCCCCGCTCGGCGGGGAGTCTGCTTCTCCCTCTGACCCTCCCCTCTCTCATGCTCTCTCTCTCTCATTCTCTCTCATATAAATAAATAAATAAATAAATAAATCTTTAAAAAATGTTTTGCTTACTTAGTAAAATGTTTTGGAAACGTGGAATGTTCAAATATGAAAAAAAAATCTGTATTGTGTTTCCATGCCTGCCTCTACCTAGTCCATTCTAGCTGCTTGGACCCCTTCGGAATATCTGTGCAAATACATAACTGTATTTTCTCCTTCTTTGTTCCTAAGGTAGGACAGTGTATGATTATTCTGCACTTTGCCTTACACTTAACAACATATTTTATTTAATTTATTTTTTTAAGATTTTATTTATTTATTTGACAGAGGGAGAGACACAGCGAGAGAGGGAACACAAGCAGGGGGAGTGGGAGAGGGAGAAGCAGGCTTCCCGCCGAGCAGGGAGCCCGATTCAGGGCTCGATCCCAGGACCCTGGGATCACGACCTGAGCCGAAGGCAGACGCTTAACTGACTGAGCCACCCAGGCGAACCCATATTTTATTTTTTTAAGTAATCTCTACACCCCATGGGGGGCTCGAACTCACAGCCCCAAGATTAGGAGTCACACGCTCTGTCCACTAAGGCAGCCAGACACCCCTGTTAACAACATATTTTAGACATCTTTCCACCTCAGGACCTGGACAGGACATTCACTGTCAAGCTGCATGGTATTACGTTGTATGTGTGCACTGAAATTCCATAGGCCTCTGGGCGGTCTCCCCTCGTGCTGTTACAAAAACTGTAACCTCTTCAGTAAAACCTGTACCAATATTTTTGTTTCTTTCTCTCCTTCTTCTCCTTCTGGTATTCTCATTACAGTATGTGACACTTTTTCTTTTCTTTTTGAGAGAGAGAGCATGGAGGAGTGGAGAGGGGGAGGGGCCGAGAGAGGGAGAGAGAATCCCAAGCAGACTCCGCACTGAGCGTGGAGCCCACCATGGGCTGATCTCACAGCCCCGAGATCGTGGCCTGATCCATACTCAAAAGTCAGGCGCTCAACTGACTGAGCCACCCAGGCGCCCCTACAGTATGTCTTACTTCTTAAGGTTGTTTCTCAGTCTTTGGATATTCTGGGGTTTTGTTTGTTTTTGTTTTTGTTTTTGTTGTTGTTGTGTTTTTTTTTTTTTTTGTCTTTGTTCTCTTTTCTTTGCAGTTTTCAAGGATTCTGTTGGTACATCCTCCAGCTCCGAGAGTCTTTCCTCAGCCAGGTCCAGTCTACTAAGCAGCCCATCAAAGGCACTCTTCATTTCTATTACAAGTGTGAGTTTTTGTTGTTATTTTGTTGTTGTGGGTTTTTTTTTTATCTCTAGCATTTCCTTTTTTTTATTTTTCTTTTTCTTTTCAAGGATTTTACCTATTTATTTGAGAGAGAGAGAATGAGAGAGAGAGAAAACATGAGAGGGGGGAGGGTCAGAGGGCGAAGCAGACTCCCTGCTGAGCAGGGAGCCCCGTCCGGGACTCGATCCGGGGACTCCAGGATCATGACCTGAGCCGAAGGCAGCCGCTTAACCAACTGAGCCACCCAGGCACCCCTCTTTTTTTTCTTTATAGATTTTATTTATTTGAGAGAGAGCACGCGCACACAAGTGGGGGGGGGAGAGACAGAGAGAGAGAGAGAGAGAGAAGCAGACTCCCTGCTGAGCAGGGAGCCTGATGTGGAGCTCCATCCCAGGACCCCGGGATCATGACCTGAGCCGAAGGCAGACGCTTAACCTACTGAGCCACCCAGGTGCCCCTCTAGCCTTCCTTTTTTGTTCTTTCTGAAGATTTCCATCTCTCTGCTTACACTGCTCATCTGTTATTGCAGGCTGTCTACTTCATCCATTAGAGCCCTTGGCAGATTAATCATGGTTTTTTCCAATTCCCAGTCTGATAATTCCAACATCCCTGCCATGTCTGGTTCTGATGCTTGCTCTGTCTCTTCAAATTGTGTTTTTGCCTTTTGGTATGTCTTCCAATTTTTTCTCGGTAGCTGGACATGGAGTTCCCAGGAAAAAGGAACTGCTGTAAATAGGCCCTTAGTGAGGTGACGGTGAGTGTGGGGGAGCAGAACTCTATCAGCTGGTGATTACGTCTGTGTTTCAGTGAATTTCAGAAGTGTTTCCCAGCTGTTTTCTCCCCCTTGGCGGGGACAGGGTGGCTAAAGTGGGCTAAGGTTGGGTACTTCCCTTCCCCTGGTCAGCCAAGCTCTGATACTACCCTAGCAGGTTAGGGTCAGGTCAACTAGTCTCCCCTGAGGGCAGGTCTTGTTAAGAAAAGCAGAGGGCTCTATCCCATTTCAGAATGGTCCCTCTCCCGCCCCCTACTGGAAGCCTGAGGAGTTTCCCTCTGATACTAAACTGCAAGAACCTGGAAGGAGGTATAGTTCACAATACTGTGGGGTTTCCCCTTAGGACTGGGTCCCCCCTGGAGTTTTTAACCCTGAGTTGTGGGCACGGAGTCTCCAGCTTTTGTCGGTTCCGACTGAGGTTTCTCTACTGGTTTCCACAGTGGTTTCCCCCCTGAGCCTCTGCTTCCCTAAGACAGGACTTCTTGCATTTGCCTGCTGGTCTTGCCAGTCTTGGGGCAGTGGTTTGCCCCGCTCTTTGTGGATCCAAGACTTGTTGATTTTTCAGTCTGTTCAGCTTTTTACTTGTCAGGACTGAGTGCAACTTGCAAAAACGGAAACTAGAAGTGTTCTTAAAAACTTATTCATAAATCACATGTTTAATGGATCAATTTAATTTAGGAAGTATGCATATATATATATATATATATATATACATATATATGTAGGATAAATCTCCAGAAGTGGACTGTAGGGTCAAAGGGTTTGTATAATTCTGTGGTTTTAAGTCTTGCCGAATTGCCAGTGCCCCAGTTTACAGTAATTCCCACCAGCGATGTTTGAGACAACACACACAAATATTTTAGAGACTTTTCAACACTGGCTTGGCTTATATAACTTCGTTTAATGTGTTCAGCTAGGTAGATAATAAATCTGAGAGTAAGTCAACATATTAGGTGAAACTAATCAAGGGTGACATTTAAAAAACAAGCTCTTGTCCGGCAACTTTCCTATTTCAATGACACCCACTCAGCTGTTGAGGAGCTTGACCACTTAATGTAGGAGCTAAGTTACATGTATCTTAATGCCCAATGACATTTCATCAAGTTCGAGACTACTTAATTTTACCAATTACAAAGAATTCAATAATGTAAATGGGCGGTTGACTGGCTCAGTCCGCAGAGCATGTGACTCTTAATCTCAGGGCCATGAGTTCGAGACCCACATTGCATGGAGAGATTACTTAAGAATAAAAGAAGTAGGGACGTCTGGGTGGCTCAGTTGGTTAAGCGGCTACCTTCAGCTCAGGTCATGATCCTGGAGTCGTAGGATCGAGTCCCACATCAGGCTCCCTGCTTCTGCTTCTCCCTCTGACCCTCCCCCCTCTCAGGCTCTCTCACTCTCTCAAATAAATAAAATCTTTTTTTTAAAGAAAGAAAATGTTTTATTTAATTTTTAAAAAAATTTTTCAAGATTTTATTTTTTTTAACTTTTTAAAAAAATATTTATTTATTTGACAGAGAGCTAGCAAGAGCAGGAACACAAGCAGGGGGAGTGGGAGAGGGAGAAGCAGGCTCCCCGCTGAGCAGGGAGCCCGATGCGCGGCTCGATCCCAGGACCCTGGGATAGTGACCGGAGCCGAAGGCAGACGCTTAACGACTGAGCCACCCAGGAGCCCCAAGATGTTATTTTTAAGTAACCCTTTACACCCAATGTGGGGCTCAAACTCATAATCCTGAGACCAAGAGTCGCATGCTCCACTGACTGAGCCAGCCAGACACCTGTCTCTAAATGAAATGTTTTAAACAAAACCAAATGGTGTCAATGGAAATAATCTGGTTTTAACTATCTCATTACCTCAAATCTGCTACTTTATTTTTTTTAAGGAAGTTATAAATTATAAGATCCTGTGACGGGGCGCCTGGGTGGTTCACTTGGTTAAGCATCTGCCTTTGGCTCAGGTCATGATCTTGGGGTTCTGGAATTGAGCCCCACGTCAGGCTCCCTTGAGCCCCTTGTCGTCTCCCTCTCCCTCTGTTCCTCCCCCCCCTGCTCGTGCTCTCTCTCTCTAATGAATAAGAAATCTTTAAAAAAAAGTCCTGTGACATAACACCTTTAATTTTAACAGAATACACTTGTGAATGGATAAGCCTTTGAAATAAAGAGCAATCTGTATGTGAGATGTCAACCATCAGACATAATCCAATAATATAGTTCAATGGCTCAGAAGCCAGCGCTAGACAGAGTCTGAGTTCAAATCCCTTCTGGGCCACTTAGGGAACTCTTTGTAGGTTGAATTACTTGCAAATTACTTCACAAAACTTCCAACTCCTTCATAGATTGATGTGAAGATTAGATAAAATAACCAGGTAAAGGTGCTTATCATGCTGCTTGGAACACAATAATCATTGGTAAATGATTCCCTAAAGGAAGGTTCTCATTCTTATGTTTTTGGCTCAAATGCCAACAGTTCCATGAAGACTCTCCAAACTCCTCAAAAACACGTTGCCCTCTTCTCAGTATTCCCATGAAATACTGAGTATGAAAATGACAACGCACAGGGTTGTTTTGGGTTTTTTCTTACAACACAGTCTGCATTCAATTGTTTAATTAATGTAATTTGCAACACACTATTGTGTATTTAATTTACTCTCTAACCTAGTTTTTCCAAGTTTTTATTCTCCATTTTTCCAATTCTTAAGAATTTCAGAGAAAGCATGCTCAAATTTATTTTGTCCTCCCCACCCCACACATTATAGTCAATGTAAGGCATAGCATTCGATACTTTTATTTTTCAATAATAGTTTTAAATCAGTTATATGTGAAAGTTCCCTCAGGATCTATAGGTATTAAAAAACAGACCCTTGTCATTTATGTTCCTAGTTCCTAGGTCATATGGCCTCCGTTATATTTTCTTCATTTAGCGATGTGCAGATGGTATAAAATCCACTTTTTAGAGCAAATTCATTTTGTCTATCTGAAATTTCCCATTCAAGGTAGTCCTAAAAAAAAAAACAAAACTGAGATCTGATTTAATCACAATTTTGACAGTAAGCAGAACATATATTTAAATTAGCTAACAGCTTCCTACCTGTCATCCCCATAGAGAAAGACAAAACAGAACAAAAAAAACCCTAGGCTCTTAAAACAGTATTTCAGGGGCACTTGGGTGGCTCAGTTGATGAAGCATCTGCCTTCGGGGCTCCATGCTCAGTAGGGAGTCTGCTTCTCCCTCTCCCTCTGCCTGCCACTTCCCCTGCTTGTGTGCTCTCTGTCAAATAAATAAAATCTTTTATAAAACCCCAATATTTCTGTAACGAGAACATAAGAACATTGAATCCTAATTAAAGAGATAGAACACTGTAACACCAATTTTATCCAGTGTAAGAAAAATTTTAAGCTTTATTTTGATAAACATTTCAGATTCCCTCATATCACAGCGTATCAATAAGCAAAATGTACATATACTGATTTTATACCTCATGTCAAGTCCCAAATTCCCAACCCTAGGTAAGCAAAATACAAGTGCCGATAATTTAACTATAGGTAGTATTTTAAACAAAAAGAAGTGTTCAGCACTTTAAGTGAAACGAGGCTTTAATCAAAAAGAGACTTAATTCCACAGTGTCTTTTTTTCAACAGTAATTAGTTCAATCAAGTCTGTGATTCCAAGCTCGAGTGACAGTGTTATGTTTGAAGCAGACAAGAAAAGGCAATCAACTCTATAGTGGTACATTACAATTATGTGCTATATTTTTGGACAAACTCTAACTGCATTCAATTTTTAGGACTTGTTTTGGAGTCTAATGAAACAAGAATTAGAGGGAAGAGACATTATGATACTGGTGGACTTTGATCAACTTCCCACACTAATTGAATCACCACCAGCAGACTTCCTTCAGCTACAACTTTGATTAAGGAACACACAAATTTTACCCAAAGAAAATTCTGTACTTCCAGTTTTAGAAAGCAGACAGTTCTATGAAGAAGCAACCATTTAAATATCTGAGCACACACATTTAAGTTTTTACAACTTCATGCCTTAAGTTTTGATTTCAGAAGTATTATTTCATGGACCCAGCACCAGATATTTACACGTGTTTTATACAATATAATTTTAGAAACCATAAGTTGCACAAAATAATCATAACACTGTTACCAAATTCGTTTCCAGTGATCTTAAAAAAGACAAATTATAACTGTTTTTGCTCAGCTGAGATATCCAGTTATGGTTATTATCTAGAAAATCCTAAATTTATGTGAAAAAAGTAATCAAAGAAAATCTGTAACTTTGATAATTTTCAACTTTTAAAATGCACAGCTAAAAATAAATAAAAGGGCTCCTCTGGCAGCGAGTAACTGAGTCAAGGAGCTTCACAAACCCTAAGCCACTCTTGGAAGCTATTTTAGGTTTTACATAATTTCCAGTCTTAACACCACTATTTGAATTCAAATAAAAGACGTGACCTTTGGAAGTCCTCGGCATCAGAAATGGCACTTCTGGACAAGAATCACAACTGGAGGCTGGAGGAAAAAATGGATCTTAGCACAGTTTCTCTCAAAGTATGGGGAATCTCATGTAATCTATGTACAATAGAAGCAGTAGTTCAGAAATCTTGGGAAGCTCCAATTGCTTTAGCTATTTTTGTTTTACTAAACAATCTGAAGTAAGCATATTTACTTTTAAGAACAAAGGAAAACACAAAGCAAGAAAAAGGCAGTATGTAGCATTTTAGGAGGAGTCAGGCGTCAGGGAAAGTTCTTTTCCTCCCTTGACTTTGGACACATCGTCTTGCCTTTTTGTTCTCCACTTTGTTACAAAAAAACAAAACCAAATCTCTGCTCAAAGCAGTCCGACTGGAGAACACTGTAGGGTTTGCATATGATTTTTTTTTCCTAATTTCCCATCCACCTAGATCCTCCCTGAAATCTAAATAAATATTTCAATGAAAACTTTTCTCCCGTTTTCATGTAGTCTGAGCCACTATATATAATTTATCGGGAAAGTGGGGGAAGGCAGCTAAAAATCACTGGCCGCTGCCAGCTTCCTCAGTCTGTCCTGTTTGGGTGGTTTTCTTTAATCATTTTAATTTTTTCGTACGATAAGGACAAAAACTGCGGCTGGAAATTCACACAGTTCAGGAATATGTGGAAAGAAAATTTACCACAGTCCTTAAGATTCAAGTAAATGCTCCCAAATCAAGTATTAGAAAGCTGCTAATTAGCAGTGAAAATTATTAGCCACTCAAATTACAATGGCAATGTTTGCTGAGCTGTTTTTATGAAAGCTTCCCCTTATATTCTATAAGGACCCAAGTATTTGAGTCCACAAACTAGCCGCTTGCAAGAAGGAATTCTTTTGACCGGAATTTACCCTAAATCCAATGTTCTCAGTTCCTTTCTTTTCCCGAAATTGTTCGATCACATTTTAAGGTGGGGAAGTGTATGAAGCAGGGTATTTTGTATGGCACTGTACTCTTTAAGAGGACCTACCATTTTAGTGAACTGGGAAAGCTCACAACATACTTAAACTCTACATATTTATAGATATGGTTTCTCCGGGCTGCATAATATAGACTGGAAGAAAGTGTGTTTTGACCCAAAAGGATACCCTGAAATGCTGTAGTGTGACGATATATTCATTAGAGAGCATAATTTAAAAGGAAAGTGTATGTTTTAATAATTCCAATGTTTTGTTATTTGGCCTTAATTTTAACTTTTTCTTCTTTTTCCTTTTGATTCTGTATTTCTATTTGAGAGGGCGTCTTTTATTTTTAAGCTGTGTTTAAGACTATAAAGAATATGCTAATGCAACGTAATATAAATATAAATAATATATAAGCAATATATACGCATACATAGACACAGCGCCAGGGGCATCAGACCACTGACGTTGTACTTTCAGGGTTCACACGAATAAGTCTGGATGCATTCCTCAGGTCCTGGAGTTGCTTGGCGGGTTTCCCCACACCTTCTTCAAACCTCTTCTCCACCACCGGGAGGACGGTCTCATAGAGAAAGGATGCATTCTGTCTGATAAAAGCCTTTTTCTCCGGATCCTGCTCACACCGAAGGCTGTAATCCACATGCTGCACGGCAACCAAGATGATTTCCACCAGGCTCTCCAAAAGTACCATGTGCAGCTCTGGGAAATACAGCTTCAGGGCTTCTTCCAAGAAGCCCATGGTCTGTTTGGTGAAGGCAACCACGGTGTAACTCAGGTTCACCCAGCAGTCATCCCCGGTGTACTGCTCGAAGTTTCGGACCCCACAAGTCTTCATCTCCTCTTTGAGCTTGCCCAGGGCCTCTGGGGTCATCAAGTTCATCCTCCTCCACATCTCCTCAGAGTTGCGATGCTTAGTGGCCTCGATGATGATTTCTTTGTAACTGTGCAAGGCCCCTTGGATGTCTTTCACCAGAAGGGCATGGATGATGAAGGTGAGGTCGAGCCCAATGTCACCCAGTTGCTGACAATGCTCCTTGGCCACTTTCACGCACTCAGCTGCGGTAGAGAGGCTCTCCTTACTATCAAACACCTGCTTGCTAAAAGCATCCACGAACATGCCCATGGCCGACCTCGCCCAGACCACAAAGGCAGAGTAGCAGCCACTGTCAGTGCCTGCGAAATCCGTCTCAAATTCCCGGGCAGTCTCAAGAAGGCTGGTAAAGAAGACATGGCACAGCTTATGAATGTAGAGTAAGGTGGCACCTTCGATGCGAAGCTGACGTATTGCAGTGTGCACAGCCGCTGCCCTGTTTCTCAAAAACAGCTCACAAGCCTTTGTGCACTGGCCAAGCCGGATTAGTTGAGAAACTGCCCTTCGAGTAGCCTTGGGACCACCTCTCAGGGAACGATCTGGGGAGAGCTCAAACATGAGCACCTCCGTGAGCTGCCGGACCCGCTCATCCACTTTGGCCCTTAGTTCTTTCACAGGAGGTGGACTGGGCTTATCCTCCAGGTAATGGTTCAACTTATCCAGCAGATCAACGGCTCCTTCAAAGTCCCTCTGGGCAATACAGACATCCAGGTCTTCAGGCAACTCCTGGATCCATTCCAGTGAGAGATCCACCTTCTCCTCTTCTACCTCAGGAACAGCTGGTTCGTCGTCGTCTTCCTCCTCAAATGGGTTACTGGGCTTGGAAGTCACCTGGGGCGGTCCTCGCGGGGCTGCGGCCTCCTCCTGCTCCCTTCGTCTTTTTTCACTGAGGGCCCTCTTGGTTTCCTCCAGCACTTCCAGCCACTCTCGTTTGATTTTAGCATTTTCCGCCTGAAAAATACGGCTCTCGGGAAACATCAGCAGCTTGAACATGTCCTTCATGGGCGGGTTGTCCTTGACGTTGACCACGGCCAAACCATCCAGGGGATAGAGAGCGTTGTAGCGATACATCCCCCGCCGCTGCGGCAGCCAGGTGGCCACCAGCAAACAGTCGTTCATGAGAAAGCCGTGCACCCGCTGCAGCTGGGCCATGTGGTCAGCTTCGTATTCCACCAGGTCCCCGTTGTACACCAGGTACTGCCCCGGCGTCTCCAGCAGGTGCCTGCAGCCTTCCACCTTCTCGAGTAGGGTGGTGAGAGTGCGCTGCTTCCCTTCCTCGCCCTGACCCGAACTGTCGCGGGAGGCACCCCCGGGAGTGGGAAAAAAGCCAGCCTGGCCCCGCAGGTGGTCTCGGCCCCCCGCGCCACCTCCCCCTTCCTCCCCTCCGGAGGCCGCAGCAGCGCCAGCGGCGGCGGCAGCCGGCAGCAGGGTAAGCGGGATGCTCTCCAGGCTGCTCTTCTGCTCGGTCAGCAGATGGCTGAGCTGATACATCTCGCTCTCCAGGTAGGAGATCTCGCGGGCCGTCTCTATGAACTGCCGGTAGTTCTGGTAGACGTTGCGCTTCAGGTTCTGCGCCGTCTCCTCCGCCAGCGCCTGGATGCGCTGCCGGTGCTCCTGCAGGTCCCGGTCCCCGTCTGACTGCTGCGAGAGCTGCTTCACGTACATCCGCGCCTCAAAGCTCCCCGACTCCAGATGCCGCCGCAGGCGGGTCGCCCCACTGTCCGACATCGCCATCGCCATTTCCGTCCGAGTCTCACGCAGTCACTGTCACTATCGCCGCCGCCGGTGCCGCCGCGGTCGAGACCCACCCAAGCCCCGCCGAGCTCCAGGGCTGAGGAAGCAGGACGGAAGAGAGACGAGTACGCCTGCGCCCGGGTCTGAGCTTCAGACACCGCGCCTGCGCAGGGGCCGGGCGCAGACAGCGCGCCTGCGCGGGAACGCCCGCCGCCTAGGGCTCATGCGCCGGGGGCGCTATTGCGGAAGCGAGTGGAGGGCGAGGCAGAGGGACGTGGGTACTGCGCATGGGCTGAGCATGACGTTGGTGTTTGAAGGTAGCGGCGAAGCGTGAGGCGGTAACCAGTTTTCTGAAACCTCCCTGGAGTCCGAGCCGTTGATACCCACGTTTTGAGCCCACTAGGAGGTGTCATGCCGAATTCTCTTTTTTAAGCCCCAGAATCTTGGCTTCGGCGTTTGGGGCAAACTCAGTTCTCGTTCTAGAGCCGGTTAATTCCTGAGTTCTCGCGAGACCGGCGGGCCTGCCCGAGAGCAGCCCGAGAGCCGGTATCTCCTAGGAGCTCGACCAGGCCCTCGGAGCTTCGGAGACGTGGAGCCAGCGTAACGCCGGCGGACGCCGCCTGGGATCCCGGCCGTGATGGATGAGGATCTGGTGTTGGCACTACGGCTTCAGGAGGAGTGGAACTTGCAGGGGTCGGAGCGCGACCGGGCCCGGGCGCCCCTGTCGCTGGTGGACGCGTCCTGGGAGTTGGTGGACCCAACCCCGGATTTGCAGGCCCTGTTTGTGCAGTTCAACGATCGGTTCTTCTGGGGCCAGCTGGAGGCCGTCGAGGTGAAGTGGAGCATGCGAATGACCCTGTGAGTCCCGAGCCCCGCTGGGGAAACGAGGGCGGTTGGCAGCTCCCCTGCAGCCCCCGCCCCCCCTCCGCCCCGATGGGCGCAGGGGAAGTGAAACGCGGGGGTCTTGTTTTGGACCAGCAGCTCATCTTGGTGTATCTGTCTCTTCCCTACTCTGTCTCTCTCCCGCGCTAGCAACTTTAAGAAACCTTGTGTCCCGTCCCGATAACAGTTTGATTTGTAAAGGACACAGTGAGAGAAAGGGATGTGTCTTTGGATCTCCTCTGATTTGAAAATAAATTAACACATTTCTGACCCAGGAGGGAGAAGCAACCAGAGTCAGCCCCTAAGAAAGAATGCCGAGGAGGCAGCAAAGCCTCCCAAGGATGTGTGTTGTCCTCTTCTATGCTCCTTGAGATATCACCACTTAGTAGTGAGCTCAGGTGTTAGAAGGGGCCTGGGGTTGACATTTCCATATTTCTGGACCCAAAGGATCTTCGCGGATGCCTTTAAAAGGATGTACACTAAGGTTGAGAAGTCCCGGTTTGAAATAATCTGTTCCTGCACATGAACGGAGTTAACAAGTTTAAGATGGGGTTGTATACCACGGTGCTTGTTTTTGAAGGGATACAAAACAGCCTAAAGTAAGACAGATTAAGATATGACACGAAACTGTGTTTAAAGAACAAGTCTCCTTCATAAAGCCTTCTGTTACAGTTTTAGAGATGTGCTAATGGAGATCTGGCTGTTAACACAAACTGATTATGGTTTGTAGGGAGGAGACTGGGAGCAGCAGCAGAACAGGATCGTCCTCTTTGGGCTCCTGCAGGCAGCCTGCCTGGCTAGGGCAAGGGATGCACTACTGTTGACAAATCTCTCTCACCGGGGTGAAATGCAAATTATGTCCTAACAAGGAAGGTACGCTAGTGTGAACTGCCCAAGAATGTATAAGGATTTACTCTTTCATCTCTATTTCTCTTTTGTGTATATTAGGTAAATAATGCTTTTGTGGTGGTTGTTTTCCAGGTGTGCTGGGATATGCAGCTATGAAGGGAGGGGTGGAATGTGTTCCATCCGTCTCAGTGAACCTCTTTTAAAGTTGAGACCAAGAAAGGATCTCGTAGAGGTATTTTTTGCATAAACTTGATTCTTAGCTGAGTGATTAAAAATGCTTATTACTGATTTAGACTGCTGTGAATTAACCTGTAATGTTAAAAAAAAAAAAAGAAAACCTGTTTTTTGTCATTGCAAACTTTAATTGCAGGGCAACTGTTAAGGATTACCTTATATTTTTATAGTTCTTCACAGCTAAAGGCTTTCGGGTATATTATCTAATTTGATCTTCACAACAACCCTGTTTTTGTACAATGTGTGTTGTCCTCCTTTTTATAAACGAGAATGTTAAGGTTCAGAGAGGGTAAGTAACTGGTTGAAGTTACATATTTAGGAGCAGAGAAAAAGTTAGGACCCATATCTTCCTACTGAGGCACACAGATTTTGATTGTTCAGCCACCATGGTGCCGCCCTCCCAGAATATCTACCTGAGCTGGTATAACCACCAGCATGGGCGGGGGCACGCTTCACTAGCGAAATGGAGCAGTGGGAGCTCCCAGATTATGGTTAGTTGAGTCTAGAAGATGCCTGAAATTCCCCAAGATGCACCCAGTGTGACTGGTCTTGCCCCAGTTATGTCACTTGAAACGAATGCATGAAAGAGGGTAGGGTGGTAGAGATTGGATGGGAAGTATGTTAAAACACGCTTGGAAATATGAAAGATGGTGTTTTTAAGGATAATGAAAGGTAATGGGTTTCAGAACAATGTGAATATACTTCACATTCCAGAACTGCACACTTAAAAATAGTTAAGATGGTAAATTTTATGTTACGTGCTCTTTACCAACAATTAGAAAAAAAGTAAATGGTTACTAAGTGTAAAATGGTACAGCAGAAATAATAAAAAAAGAGAGGAATAAAGGAATAAAACCCTGCAAAAAAAAAAAAAGGTATAAAGACAGTATCAGTAATTATATTAAATGTAAATGGACTAAGCACTAATTAGACATGGAATGACATACTAGATGAAAAGAGATGTGCTTAAGATAATGACACACATGCATTAAATGTAAAAGGTTGGAAAAAAGTATATCATCCAAACAATAACAGAAAACTGTTGTATCAGACTAAAGATCTTAAGGGAAGAAGTTTTACCAAAAAAAAAAAAGGTTAACAATTTAGAATGATAAAATAATCAATTAAATAAAAACATGATTTGATCCTTAAAAGTAACGACTTTAAATTACATGAAGCATAGATTAGTAGAAGCAAAAAGAAAGAATCCACAATCATAGTTGCAGATGTTAACACAACTCTCTTGGTAACACAATGAATAAGCAGGGAAAAAAAGTAGCATAAAAAATTTTGAACAAATCAACCTATGAGGAGCTCTAATTAGAACAGTAGTTGCTTAATGAATATTTATTATGTAAATGATTAAACACACGAACAAATTTTTTTTTTATAAAGGTAATGGGCGAGAAGAGAATGGGAAATGTGTGGTAATGCTATCAAGTGAGCATTTGCTGTTGGCAGAAAGTTACAATATGAAATCGGGGTAAGAAGGACCAAGGAGGAACAGTGTGACTCTGGTCTGTACATAGAGTATGACCTAAATTATAAGGAAGAAGATTCAGCAAAGGAAAAGACTTTGGTTGAGGACAAAGAAGAAAAGCTTCATGCACGTGTATTTTGTGACTACTGACATCACCACTCCTACCACTCACTCTTTATTGAGCGTATATTGTGTGCCATATTTTGGACTAGATTAACTAGTGTTAATCTAGTTAATAGTTAACCTAGTGTGTATAGCCCTGCAAGATCAGGATATGCCCATTTTAGGGATGAGGAGCACGTTGTAACTTGTCCAGGGTCCTGTGCATAATCAATAACAAATCCTTGGTTTAGGCGCTAGTTTCCCTGGCTCTGAAGCTCCTGTTCTATTCCCTGTACCATTTGGCCTCATCACTACCACTTTATAATTGTTACTCCTGCTATTTAAAACATGGAAGTGAGCCTTATGGGGCAGACTGGCTTCTGACAAGTAGAGATGGTAGAGGAAGACTACTCTTGGCACAGGGAATGGGCATGCTACGAACAAAAGTGAGGCATGAAACTTAGGGCGTATTGAGGACCAGAAGTAGTTCCTTTTGGCCAGAGAACGGTGGGGGGAAGTAGAGGTGTTTTGGGACCGCGTTGAGTAGAGCCTTGGATCTAGCCTAAATGTGGAAAATGGTAGATATCTAAAAATAGAATTGTTCAGTATGGTGCCATGTGCCATTTTCAAGGTATTTAAATTGAACCCAAAATTAGGAACCTAAATTTATTTCTCCTTTATAAGAATAGTTGCTGATCAAGGCGCCTGGGTGGCTCAGTTGGTTAAGCGTCTGCCTTCAGCTCAGGTCATGATCCCGGGGTCCTGGGATCGGGCCTCGCATCAGGCTCCCTGCTCAGCAGGAAGTCTGCTTCTCCCTTTCCCTCTGCCTGAAGCTCCCCCTGCTTGTGCTCTCTCTCTCTCTCTCTGTGTCTTAAATAAATAAATAAAATCTTAAAAAAAAAAGAATAGTTACTGATCATTACTTTAGAATGTTGGAAAACATTTGAGATGTAGAATGCCCTTTGAGTTTGAGTCCCAAAAAAGTGGCATTTACTTGAAGAGATTAAGTTCATTTTCAGAGATGGAGTTGATTATTTTATTATTTTATTTTATTTTATTTTATTTTATTTTATTTTATTTTATCTTTTTAAAGATTTTATTTATTTATTTGGCAGAGAGAGACACAGCGAGAGAGGGAACACAAGCAGGGGGAATGGGAGAGGGAGAAGCAGGCTTCCTGCTGAGCGGGGAGCCCGATGCAGGGCTCGATCCCAGGACCCTGGGATCATGACCTGAGCTGAAGGCAGACGCTCAACGACTGAGCCACCCACGCGCCCCCGGAGTTGATAATTTTAAAAGGGATGTTTTCGTAATGACCAAGTTAAAATGTCTGATTCACCCATTTTTCTGTTCAGCATAATTTGATAAGACTATAGTTCATTAATGGCAGTCTAGTTCTTCTGGTGGAAATTCTTTGTAAAAAAATCATGAACAAGGTTTGCTCTTGAAGACCTTTATGACTTTCGCTTTTTTTAAGCATATATATATATATATTTTTTTTTAAATTTTAAGTGTCAGTAATGACTTGCTTCTTTTTTTTTTTTAAAGATTCCATTTATTTATTTGAGAGA